TGATAAACGGACAAAAAATGTCATTTATTTTCTTAGAATTGGTACCTAAAAGTTCCTCCTGACTAATCTGGGTGATTTCTGTGATAGTATTATCTAGGGATACCCCATTATAGCCCTTCTCCAAAAAAACGTTCTTTCAAAATATTAGCTTGTATCTGAAAATCTGAGGTGTTTGTACAATTTCTTCTCAGTCTTAGCAATTGTCCTTTGGGGACGTTAGCAAGCCAGCTGGGATGATGGCAACTATCCAAAGGAATATAACTATTCCGATCCGACGACTTGAAAAACGTTTTGGTGATAATTTTGTTGTCTACCCTCACCAAGGTGAGGTCTAAAAAACTAACTTCTTCATGACTGAAGTTATAGGTGAGTCTGATATTTTGATTATTATAATTCAAGGTAGTGAAAAAGTTTTCTAGCGATTGTGTATTCCCATTCCACAACAAGAGAATGATAGAGGGTACTACCCCTCTCCAAGAAATCAGAATATAGAATTATAAAAAAGGACACAAAAAATCTTACAACCCTCCGAGAAATCCTGCTCCTAACTATTACCCTCCAGTAACTCCTATTTGCCCATAATACTAATGATTATCATTATTATAATAATCAGGAACAACGTTTTTTAGGATCAGGCAGGATAAGAAAAAGGAGCGCAGACCAAGAGGAAAGAGAGGAGGAAGAAGAATACATAGATACCCAAAAAAGGAGGAAGGTATAATAGGTAAAGGTATCTTTAATCTGAGTACTACAACCCTTTCAGATAATGAACTGAAGCTCCTAGATAAAGGATTAAAGTACGCACCGGCTAGATCCCTTAACAAATTTGAGACGTTCATAGACGTGCACAAGTTCGCTAGAAAATTGTCCATAAAAAGACATTTCCAAACTAATCCCATTGCTAAAGATGTAACTACGAACAAAAATAGGAATTCCTCTAACCTCAGTAATGCATCTACATTCAACCCTCCACCACAAACTAATTCTGCAGTGGGTCTCTTTAGAGATCAAACCTTAAGAGACTTACAGAAATTACAGAATAAAAAAAGTATATGCAGATGCAAGTCTTAAACGTGCAACTAAAACACTGTTAGAGAAAAATGACTTGGTCATCCACCCTGCGGATAAAGGTGGAGGAATAGTAGTCCTTAACAAACAGGATTACATGGAGGAAGTATACAACATCTTGAAAGATTCCTCCACATACCTTCCCCTCAATTATAATCCTACAACGAACTTTAAGAACGCCCTGAAAGCGATCATTAATTCAGGCTTTGAGAGAGATATCATCAACAAAAAAGAAAGTGACTTTCTCTGTCCCAAGGCACCTAAAATACCAATCCTCTATATCTTACCTAAGATTCACAAGGACCCTTTGAGACCCCCGGGAAGGCCAATAGTCAGCGGGATCAATTCCCTTTGCTCCAAGATCGGACAATACATAGATCATTATCTTCAGCCACTAGTAGTCCACACCCCCTCATATCTCAAGGACACTAAACAGGTCCTAAATGCCATTAAAGATGTAGTTATCACTCCATCTACAAAATATTGGTTACAGCAGATGTTGAATCGCTGTACAGTAACATTAACCATGCAGATGGAATGAGAGCCGCAGAATGTTACCTAAGACAGCAGAGCCCTCTTGGTTCTACACATATTGATTTCATTATAGAATTACTTGAATTTGCAATGGTTAAGAATTACATGTGGTTTGATGGCAAATATTATTTACAAATAAAGGGTGTGGCTATGGGGGCGAAATTCGCCCCCAGTCTTGCCAATTTATTTATGTCCTTCTGGGAGGAAGAGATTATATACTCCAGGGACTGGCCAGAATTGGTCTTCTATAGGAGATATATTGACGACATTCTCTTGTTGTGGAATGGGAATACACAATCGCTAGAAAACTTTTTCACTACCTTGAATTATAATAATTAAAATATCAGACTCACCTATAACTTCAGTCATGAAGAAGTTAGTTTTTTAGACCTCACCTTGGTGAGGGTAGACAACAAAATTATCACCAAAACGTTTTTCAAGTCGTCGGATCGGAATAGTTATATTCCTTTGGATAGTTGCCATCATCCCAGCTGGCTTGCTAACGTCCCCAAAGGACAATTGCTAAGACTGAGAAGAAATTGTACAAACACCTCAGATTTTCAGATACAAGCTAATATTTGAAAGAACGTTTTTTGGAGAAGGGCTATAATGGGGTATCCCTAGATAATACTATCACAGAAATCACCCAGATTAGTCAGGAGGAACTTTTGTACCAATTCTAAGAAAATAAATGACATTTTTTGTCCGTTTATCACTACCTTCTCTGTTCAACATAGAGCGGTTAAACATATCATCAAGAAAAATTGGAATATATTAAAATCAGATCCAGTTTTGAATAACATACTTCCTGATACACCTGAAGTAATTTTTCGGAGACCAGCCATTCTTAGAGATAAAATATCTCCTAACATTATTAACCCTCCTGTTAAATCACTCACATTGTTTAATATGAAAGGTTTTTACCCCTGTAATAGGTGCATCGCTTGTAAGTGCAATGGAAGTAGAAAGAAGAAAACCTATTCCTATAGTTCCAGTCAAACACACAAGACATATGAAATAGATAAATTTATAAGTTGTGACAGCAAATTTGTAGTCTATCTGCTTGAATGCCCGTGCTCCAAACAATATATTGGCCGGACCACCAGGAGGCTTAGAGACCGCCTTCGGGAACACATTGCTAACATCAGAAAAGGATATAAAGACCATTCATTATCCCTACATTACAGACGTTTCCATCATAGGGATCCCACATCACTCAAGTTTGTGGGGATCGACTTAGTCACCCCACATTGGAGGGGTACACATAAAGTGAGAGCAGTTTCCCAGCTGGAGACTAAACACATTTTTGAATTGAGTACTTCCCATCCAGCGGGGCTTAATATAGACCTAGATCTTAACTGCTTCATTGCTAATGGGTGACGTAAATTTAAACAAATTAATTTCTCCCCTTTTTCCATGTTATAGACGCATGGTTTGACCTTCTCACATGCGTTTCTATCTAAGCAATTTCTATTGATCTTTTAATGATTCTCACATGTGTCATTAGTTTCGAGGTTGGTGCAGATTTAGTTCTGCAGTCTTTTTATTTTATTTTAGTTTTATCCTCTGAGAACTTTTTTTCTGGCACATAACTTTTATACATATGATGTCTTTTTGAATGTTGATAAATTTTAATTTGCAAAGATATAATGACGCATGTATATACACTTACTCAAATTATACTATTTAATTGGAAATAAGTTCAACACATTGGCGCTATCGCGCGCCTATTTTATATTTTTACATAGATCTGAAACAGATTGTCTTTCAAATAGGTGTATTTCACACCGTTGTTGAACTTGTCTTCATTGACATTCATCTGTCAATTATAGGGCATTCTTGCCCTTCCACCCTGTGTCTTCGAGCTCCATTAAAATGGAAGACGGAGCCACGCACATGCGCCTTAGTTATTGCACACTGGCGCATACGTAACCGCGCATGCGTCATTATGCCTATTTATATGCGCCTATTCGTGTCATCACGCCAATGGTTCCATACCTCTGAAGATGTGCGTGCCCACGTAACGCGTAAGGAGGAGCCTGGACGTCGAGACGCTACGCCGCCGGAGCCACGTGGAGGCCCAGGGGCCATTATTCAGAGTGTCAGGGTTAGTTTGTCTTGCTGACACATCTTTATGATACCTGCCTACTTTGAATTGGATACTATATTTTTAATAAAGCTGCTTTTTATAACCTACTACACTATGGGTGTCCTTCCCTAAAACTCCCCTGAGGAGCTTTTGCTTGCAGAATCTTGATCTTGGAATCCTACACCTAATTGGGAAAAGGAGGATCTGTTGCTGCATCCACAGAGGAGGGATCCACCATTCCTGTAACCGGACCAGCTTTATCCCCTTCTGGATTGAGGATCCATGAGCTCTAGATGCACACTGCGTTTATGTGTCCTACTTCTGGTGAGTGCGTTTTTCAGCCGTTTCCACACGGATCACCAATTCTAAATCCTCATTTGTCACTGGACACGTCCATATGACTAAGACTTTCAGTGGACTTATATCTGTCTTATTATCACTACTTTTAGCGCTGCACTATTTTATGTTATTCCATTTTAGTAAGTACATATTGGTTGCTTAGAGTGCTTAGCCGCTTTCAGGATTAGCGCTCACTGTTGTTTTTTTCTATTCATTTATCCATGACCTGTCTAGTGTATTCCTTGGCCTTTGTACTCTAACAAACCTCTGAGGGCTTCACAGAACAGCTGTATTTATACAGAGATTAAATGACACACAGGTGGACTTTATTTACTATTTAGGGGACTTTTGAAGGTAATTGGCTCCACTAGATTTTAGTTAGGGGTATTAGACTAAAGGGGGATGAATACAAATGCACACCACACTTTTTAGATATTTATAAAAACATTTTTGAAAACCATTTATAATTTTCCTTCCAAAAGCCCCTTTCCTGGCTGAGTTTGTCACAGTGAAGTTCTGCTTCCAGTTGAATTGCCCCATCGATTCACCGAAAGTTCTGCCCCTTGCTTGCAACGTTCTGGGACATTTCACAGGTCCCTGAAGGCTGCAGGACTATTTGCAGAGCGCACAAATGTGTATTGACCCAGCTGAGCACGTCGCTGGACCCCTGAAGAGGTAAGTGTCCTTTTATGAAAAGTCAGCAACTACAGTATTTATTTTTTTCAAAAAGTCTGAAGACAAACTATTTAATGTGAAACAAATTCTACTTTAAAGGATCATCGTGATTCATTTTGGGCTGCAGGAACATCTAAATATGAAGTCCTAACCTGAAACCAAAAAGTAAAAACAAATCTAAAAATGTAAAGGACAGTGCACTGTTCTTTACATTCACTTAAAAAGGAAGATTGGAAGGGTAATTATCTTTTCTGTTGCTATACATCATATATAAAATCAGAGAGAGTGGACTTACACAGCAATGTCACTTCTAACTTTTTCCTGAAGGGCCGCCGCATCTTCATTATTAGATAAACTGCTGGGATTGAAAAAGATAGTGAATAATTGTGAAGAAAATAAAAACTTAACAGACCACAAGAGAATATTTCATTTAAAACAGAGCTCCAGACAGAAACAATATAGTCTTTTTAGCAAGGCACAACCTTGCTTTGAGCCAAAATGCTTAAACTTTTCTTCAGTTTACTCCATTTGAGTACCTCCCAAAGAGGTCCCTTATGCCCAGGTTCTTCAACCTTCCAGTTTTCTGCAGTTGAGCATCCCTGTTTTTTCTATATGGAAAAGAAATTCCTCTAATAAATGGCTCCCAGCTACATCAGCTATGAGTAGTTTCCTGAAGGAGAGCTAGAAACACCACTCAAAATCAAATTTTGTCATAAATTTAGGCCAAAATGGATTCTGCTACAAGTCTTTGCTAAAAAAAAAAAAAAAAAAAAAAAAAAAAAAAAAAAATCCCACTACGTGTAAATTAATTGGCAGTATATATACTGGGATTTTTTTTTTTTTTTTTTTGTTAATTACTACTAGTAACGGTGGCAATCAACAACTTACAGCGGGACTGTGGCGAGCATTCTGACACCGGGAAGAACTGACTTGGTGTCACTGACATACCCAGTGACACCAATACAGTGATCAGTGCTAATAAAAAGCACTGACACTGTACTAATGGCAATAGGCAGGAAGGTGTTAACATCTGGGGTGATCAAAAGGTTAACTGTGTGCTGGGTGCGTTTTACTATGGGGCTGTGTCGGTGTGCTTCACTGTATGCTTCGTATAGCTGTGCACAGCCAAAGGAGTGTGCACAAGCTAACAGGGAGGAGATCTGTTTTTTTTTTTTACTAACAGTTCACCTCCCCCATCGGAGATCCTCAGCAATCACTGGGCGCCAGCAACCCGGTGATTGACAGCCGCGAATAGCGGCGCAGGTAGGGCGCACACCCCCTATCTGGAAATGCAAAATCACTCACACACACTAATATATATATATATATATATATATATATATATATATATATATATATATATATATATATATATATATATATATATATATATATATATATATATATATACACACACACACACACACATACACACACACGTGATTTTGCGCATCCATGCCACCCTGTAGCAGTGTATCTGCTATAGGGCGGATGGGAAGTGGCTAATATCAATTGAATGCATTGGTATTAGCAATCGTGTAAAAAAAAAAAAAAAAATCCTGATCATTTGTTTAGAGTAGTACAATCTTACTGTGGTAAAGTTGTATCGCTCTGTTCAGTGTGTTGGAAAAAAAAAAAAAAGATATCGCGTGGGGTGGGGTCACATGCGTGATGTCCCTGGGTGGCCCCGTCCCTTACATATATAAAAACAGTCAAGCCACCGGAGCGGCAGACAGCTGGGGGCCATCGTTGGAAGTGGAGCCTTTTTTTTTTTAAATTCTTTTTTCGGGTCGGCAACGGCGTACATAGTGACTGACGCTGGATCTACTGCGGGGGACATTTTTATTTATTTATTTATTTTTAATAAAAGGACTTGCCAAAGACCGTGTCCTGTCTTTTTTCACACTACACTTTTTGTGAATGATTAGTGGGACCATGTACCCCATACTCATTCACATGGGAGGGGGGGTGGGATCTGGGGGCTTCCAGATTCCGATAAGCTCCCTGCCCGCAGACCCCCACAACCACCGGCCAGGGTTGTGAGGAAGGGACCTTGTCCCCATCAACATAGGGACAAGGTGCTTTGGGGGGGGTAGGAGCCCCCCTGCCCCAAAGCATCCCCCCATGTTGAGGGCATGTGGCAAAGTATGGTTCAGGAGGAGGGGGGTGCTTGCTCGTCTCCCCCCCCCCCCCCCTTTCCTGACCTGCTGGGCTGCATGCTCGGATATGGGTCTGGTATGGAATTTGGGGTGACCCCCACGCTTTTTTTTTTATTTTGGCGTGGGAGTTTCCCTCAAAATCCGTACCAGACCCAAAGGGCTTGGTATGGATGGGAGGGGGAACCCCATGTTTTTTTTTTATGGTGTCGGTTTTTAAATGTAATTACTGCTTTTTTTTTTTTTTTTTTCTTTACTATAGCTAAGAGATTCAGCTGTAACTTTCCCCCCCAGCTAAAAGAAACTTTCCATTTAGTTTATTTTCCCAAGTTAAAAGAAACAGTTTCCTATAACTCCGGGGAAAGTGACAGCTAAGGGCTCATGTACACGGGGTGTTTGGAAAATCGTGTTTATGCGTGTTTTGCCACGTTTGTGTTCAGAAGCGTTTTTAAGACAACCTCAGGAGACCCTCCGAAATGTGATGACTTTTGGACTGTTTATTAAGAAAAATTATATTATCCCAAATTGGGAATCCTAGCTGACTGTCATGGGTTAACATCCTGGGTTGATTTCCAGTGAACTAGGAAGTTAAAAAAAAAAAACAAACAATGAGTGGAAGAAATTTGTCTAAGATACAATGAGGCTAAACACCACTATTTGAATTTCTGCAGGTGATCAAACACAGATACCAAAGTGACAATTCTGAGACTAAATCCTTATTGTCTTATTTCTCCCAAAACCTTGGAAGGTGTGTGATCACCAAACAACTAACTAGAAGTAACTAGAAGTTTTCCTATGTCACATATCCTTGAACCGTGCATTAAACATAAGGTGAAATTTGGGTCATTTAAAATAAAGAGTTTGGTATACATGAACTGAAACATTATTAAAAAAGGTATGTATCCACACACCAAAATCTATTCAACAAAGTTGGGTACTGCATACCACTCGACTGAAGATCATGAAGTTATAAAATAGAAGATGGTTTGTGAGTTGGGTAATTTCTATATTTCCAAAGGAAATCAGCCATCCCAATACAGTTCATATATAAGAAAAATGAGAAACCAAATGTATTCACATCTTTCTATGGTCCTTATTTGAGAGTTAATGGGGAATTTATTTATACTTGAATAGGACCCATATATTTGATCCATAAAGACATACTGTTTATATAAAAGAGTGAGTCATCATTAAGACCACAAGTTCATTTGTGATACCTGACTGTCCCCGGTGAACAGGAAAGGAACTTCTATAGGTACGCAAACTTCTCAACCGTCCAATCAACAAGCCTGTTGGCAGGTCCTTCGGAACAAAGGACTTGTATGGTATAAAATGCCAAACACTTCAAATTGAAGGGAATCTTCTGACTTCTACTTCAAATCAAATCTTCTGACAACTTCTAAAGACTTCTATGAACTTTAACTTCTCAAAACTTCTGAATCATCACTTCTACTAATTCTTGATCACTTCTGAACTACTTCTGAAACTTCTTAACTACTCTATTACCACTATATACTGCACTATACTCACTTGCCACCTGCAGCCATTTTGCTGAGAACTTCCAGCTGCCATTTGAAGGAAAAGAGTTTCGCCAGAGACGCTGATGCTCATTTAATTCTGGTGCCTGACTGCCCAGAAACATTTTTTTTCCAATTGCATCCCACTGGGAGGCCTCAAAAATCGAGATTCTGGGAGTGGTGAGACTGTGCCAAATTGTAATTTTCTTTTATATTTCAAACTTATTAAGATTTACAACATTTGTATTGTATAATTAGGAATGTATTAAGGTTCTCTGAATTATTATTAATATAACTGTTTGAGTATTAGTACTGAGATTATATACTGCATACTAACTGATTTGTAGCGTTTTTTTGTGGTGCTAATTATCAGAAATACTTTATTTCCCTACGGCCGTGGGAAATTGCAAATAATATCTGAAGCACTATAAGTTGCAACTAACATATCCAAATTTTGTTTTACCTTATTTGAATAACCATATATTGTATGATCCCATAAAGACTAGCATACTATATCTTTGATTGTGTGTACGAACATATGCATCACCAGTATTCTGCGTTTTGTATTAATATATATAAATATTTGTACATAAATTTATCAAAAAAGCAAATTTTGTGTATATGGTAACAAAAACATATTGGTGAAAGAAATCAAGGTATATTATTAAGTGGTGATCAAATTAAGGTGTCCAAATTATTGGTTTCTTGAATATTTGCCGTATTTTAACGGCTGGAGGCACTGCAATATTTTGTTTAAGGGAGAGGACACCGCCCTAATTATTTAGAATAAATTATTACATAAAACACCACACAAAAATGCCCAGAACGCACTGAAATATAGTAAATAATTAACTATTTTAGACATTTTGAGTGAAAGAGAGCAGAAGCAGAGAGAGCAGTAGGTGTTGAGATGACCTGTCTTTTCTGGTTGTATTCACTATGGATCCCATCATGATCATAATGCGGCACGTTCTACCATTGTTTCCTTCACAGGAAACCTGCAACTGACTGCGCTGGTGTACCGGGTCCATTTGAATACATGAAAAATGCTTTGCATGCATTTCTGATGAAAAAAAGGCTCTGAACAGCATCTGGATATGGAACAGTTAAAAAATGCTTCTAAACACGGTTAACCACGTTTACAAGCGTTTGGCATTTGAAACGTCGGAAAAATCTACTCCTGAACGCAAGTTTGGTGCATTCTAAAAAAAACGACTGTAAACTCAACTGCCTGTAAACGACTGTAAATGACAGTGTACATGGACACATAGGAAAACATAAGGGAGAGTTCAGGGGCTGCTGAAAAAAAAAAAAAAAAAAAAAAAAAACGCTGAACAGCTGCTGAACGTCAGTTTAGCAGCCGCAGTGTACATGAGCCCTAATTCTGTGAGCTGTAGTGACAAAAAAAAAAAAAAAAAAAAAAAAAAAAGGCGACAATTGCATTTAAAACATACACTTCGTATTGCCAAAAAATCTTTGTAAACTGAGGTATTATTTTCAATGGATTTTCATTCGTAAACCGAAAATTAAGTTAACCGAGGTACACGAATATATATATTTATTTTATTTTTTTTTCTTTTACATACAGTCACCAGTGTCCCTGATCACCTACACAACAGTTATATGATAACACTGTACTGGACTGGTGACAATAAGTAAAAAAATTTTTTTAAAAATTTCAAAAATTGTAACAAAAAAAGTACAACTTCAAAAAAAAAAAAAAAAAAAACACCTCACCATGCCCCTTACTAAATACGTTGGAATGTATTTTCCAGAAATTGGTCACGTGGGGGGTATTTGCACTGTCCTGGCGGTTTTGAGCCTCAAGAAATTATATTAGCTGTTAGTACATCAGGATTGATTGCCAGATAGATAGATAGAGAGATATATATATATATATATATATATATATATATATATATATATATATATATATATATATATATATATATATATATATATCTATCTCTCTATCTATCATGGTTTGGGGACACTAACTTTCCTACAGACTTACAGACTAAATAATATACACTAATTTGGGGTATTTTCATCAAAGAACTGTAGCAGAATACATTTTGACCCTCATTTATAAAGAAATAAAATTTAGCAAATAAATTAACAGGAACGAAGCAAAAACGTGTTATTTTCCAAATGTGTTTTTTTTTTTTTTTTAATTTAGCAAAAAACAAAAAAAAACTCAGTGGTGATTAAATACCACCAAAAGAATGCTATCTGCGTGAAAAAATAATACGTTTAGGGGTACAGTGTTGGATGACCTCGCAACTGTCAATTCAAAGTGCGACAGCGCTGAAAGCTGAACATTGGCCTGGGCAAGAATGGGGTATAAGTGCCCAGTAGGGAAGTGGGTAAAACAAAAACAAAAACAAAAAAAAAAAAAAAAAAACACTGTAGCAGAGCCCTACTAGTTCCATTCTAAACAGCTGAAGAACTTGCAGTGTTCAAAAATGGAAATTGTCTGCATCCCTTTGGAAATAATTAACCCTTAGGATAATTTTCCTCGCCAAAAATATAATTCCTATTGAAAAAAGTGTCTAAGATTTTAAAAGCATCTCAATGCAGATTTCTGGGGAAATCAGTGAGCCAATCACACAAGCAGGAAATTACATTTCTGAGGAAGTTCTGTACACCAACTTCAGAAAACCTGCATGTTGCCAAATTGCATTGATATTCAGAAAATTACAGCAGCTACAGACTGAAAATGAAAATTAATTTTTATAACATTAAGGCTTCTCACTAGTGCGACTTGACATTTGACTTTGGATACAAAGTCGCATGGCAGGTCGCAGCCCATTGATTTCAATGGCACAGTTGAAAACTATGCGACTTAAAAAGTTGCAGCAACTTTGATGAGGTTCCATCCACTACTTTGATGTGACTCCCCCCCCCCCAAAAGCTGGTAAGTGTTGATGGGAGAAATCGAGCCATTTATTGCATCATTTATGGCCTTCCTAACGGTTTCAATGGACTGTTTAGGTACGCACCTACACAACATACAGTAGCTGGTAGCAAACCTTAAAGACAGTACAATAAGACATGAGAAAACTATGGTGAGATGTTGTAAAACAAATCAAAAACTACGGTAGTGAATGGTATTTTGGAAGAAAAATCCACAGCTGATATTGATATATGGTTTTGGATTGTATTTTTGGAAAAGGACATGATCATTTGTCAGTTATAAACACAGCAGAGATGTGCTGGATAAAAAAAAAAAAAAAAAAAAAAAAGACAAACATTTCCTTTAGCCAAAACAGGGATAACAATCTTTACTTCTTTACCAGATTCAAAATGTGTAACAGCTTTTCTTCACACATGAATCATGTTATTGTAATTGCAATAAGCCTGGAAGGAGAAAACAAATTGCACCTACTCCTGTCGAAGTGCTCTCTCACCGATCTTGCCTCCGTTGCAGCACTAAAATCCTTATTGCCGGCTGAAATCAGACACTATGGGGAGTGCTGACATTACTCCATAAGCCATATAACAGTAATTGAGCTTAGTGGAGGAGGTCAAATGCTCCTCAATACGCAGAAGCAACAAGTATTGGCATTGGATAAAATTGAGGTAGGAGCGGTATGGGGGGGAAATAACAAGATGCCATCAGGGCTCTGCGGGCCCATAACACAAACAATATCACTTCGCCCTTATTGGGCATGGTGACAGTGTATATAAGGCTAGATTTACACTGCTGCAATCAGATTTTCATCTGTCAGTGCAATTATGTAGTGCAACTTGGCTGCTACAGGAACCATTTCCAAAATTGCACCCTGCTGAGTCGCATTGATGTGAATGGGCACCACTGAAAACAATGATTTCTACGGTCATGCAATTGATGGCATCTGAAATCACACTAGTGTGAACAGAGCCTAAGTCAGATCTTTGGCTAACACTGTTTTAAGGGTCTCCTGTTTGGCAATATAAATTTGGTAGACAATGGCTATTCCTTTTGCTAACCCAACAAAACTTACATAGTTGTAAGCTCTTTGTTTCTCCCGCTCTTCTGTCACTGCTCACTAGTAATCCCCATGTAAAAATCCAACTTAATTTCCCTTTAATTTCCTTCGACCTTCCTTTTCCCATAAAATAGATTTTTTTTTCCTATTGGCTGACCTCAGAAAATAATTCCAGCCAAATCAGAAAAGGGAGGGACAATGCTCCTGTGTCCAGAGAGAATGGAATACCTGACTATCTTCAAAAGTCATTTTCCAGCCTACAATTTTTATTGCTAAGTAGTTATTGCTAGAGAGTTGTACCAGTAGTGGGGGACCAATAAAGAACTTATTACAATCTGTAAATACAGGTACTGTTAGAAGGGACAACAGAATCTGTATAGGTCAGACTACCTGAAATGGTCATTGAACCTGTGTGCTCAGTTCTGCTCCATATGTGAGCATTCTGAAAAGTATACTGTAACTGCACTATGACAGTGGGCTGCAAAGAGAAAATGAACTGCCCATGGTAAGCATTTGTATCATCCAAAGTACTAGAAAGGACCCCTGCATTCACATTCTGCTCACCTTAGTTTTTGTTTTTTAAAGACAATTTATACACCAACCCCCCTCCCAGAGAGACAGATACACCTAGAGAGAAAAAAATCCAGAACATGAAAGACAATTTTTCCTGTCACACATCAGTCACTCACTTGGTAAAATAAAGAAGCCAAGACTGGAGTGCCATCCCCAGAGGCAGGACCTTTATAAACTAAATAGCAGCCAGCCCCCCATGTCTCTAATCTCCCAGGTTGTGTTTATAGAAAATGCCTCACCTTTTGGAGCCTTCAGTGCATCTTTCCAGTGTTCCATCACGAGACAGACGTTCTGTGAAGCGCAATACTTTCTCCTTAACCGCAGATACTGTGGGAAAGATTACAATAAAACTTGGTAAAAGCGGGAGTTTAGGTAATATTCTTGTTGTGGATACAGCACCAGGGACATCATTTTCCTCTACCAAAGTGTGTATTTTGTCCTGTGGCTGCTGCTTACTGTAGGAATATTTACTCCAACCCTGGACACTCCCCAGAGCACTGAACTAAAGATCAGCGGCTGTGAAGCTTTGCTGCTGCTGCCCCTCTTCTTCCTCCTTTCTTGCCTGCAATTAAGGAGGACAGTGGATGGATGACAGGATATACCTCCACCAGAGTGCTTTGCTTTCTGGGAAATAATAGGATCTCTGTGAATGTGTGTGAGAAGGGGAGGGAGCTAATGTATAACACAGTCACAGCTCAAACCCTGCAGCACTGAAAGTTCACAGCCGTGGGGAGGTGTCAGTGGAAGGAAGATTTGTACAGTATGCAGCAGCAGGCAGAGCATGGGACACACTAGGGAGGTGCCCTACATTGGCAACGTCAATCCGCACGGCCCACATGGTTGGCTGGCGGCCATCTTGGTTTTTCCTGATATGAGTTATATTACCTTCTGTCATGTTCTTTTGAGTTTACAATAAAAATACTACACTATTGGAGACTTATCTTCAGCTTGTTTTGCTGCGAGCCCCCCCCCCTTTTTAAGGTGAATCCTGCTGAACGGCATATGGTTATGTGAATGGTTCCCCCTGGTGGCTGATGATTGCATCTCTGGAGTCTGGATATCATTCTGTGGTGTGTTACTTACCTGGGTGTTGCTGGCCAGATGACCCCGTGCTGCATTGTTCCAGATCCATATGACCAGGAGTTGGTCTTAATTTACTCCAATGCGCAATAGATTGTGCTTTATGGTTAGTGCAATCTACATCTATTTTCACAGCCACAGCAGTCATGGATTTCTCACCATTCATTGTTGTTATTGGAAAATATTGACTTATCACATATGTCACTATATGCACTTTAAACGTCAAGTTGTGACGCGGTTTCACATCACTATCCTCAGCGCCTTGGAGCGCAGTTCATACCTGTTTTGATTCAAGATACACATCCATGATACTACTTACCAATTTTTATTAATTTTATGCATCCATACTGTCATCATTTATTAATTCATTTATATCTATTGATTCTGATGTCTTAAGCGCTGCATATATATATTTTTATATGGGACACACTACATTAAAGACAAATCATGTTTCTGGTGCTGTATCCACAACACTTTTCAACCTGCTTAATTAAACAATAGTAAATGTGTAATGGGAAAACACATTTCTACCTACGTTTGTTGCACAAGTTGTAGGATTTTAGCAAACATAGTACTTCTACCTGTTGCTGTTATACTAAATAGATTTTGTAAATTGTGGGAAGTGGGTTTCCAGGCTTTTTTCAGCCATAGCACCCTTTAAATGTATTTTTCAGTCTCAAGGCACCCCAGTCTAAGAGAGCTTAATTCACACATGAGGTTGGGTGATGATTTTACCACCCCCACCAAATGCTCTCCCTTTACCAGCAGAGGCTGAAGGCATACACATGCTGTGTCACAGTGCTTCGTGGCTGTAGCAAGAATTATATGCCATTGTGTTCAGTGGGCACCACTGCCCGCCAAATGCAACCCATTAAGGTAAATGGGGTAGCTCTGCAACTACCCCACAACCGAGTGCATTGCATGCATTTGCGGCACAATGGTGCCGCAATTAGGCAGTTAAAACAGGTTGCGACGAGGCATGGATCACTTCTCAGAGGTGTGTCAGTTCTTGGCACTATTGTGAAAGAAACCTCAAAAAGCAGTTCCAATTGTACGGGGTTAAAGTGGCTGTTAGGGCTCAATGTTTGTTGTTTTTTTTTTTTTTTACCATTCTATGCTTGAAGGTAAAAAAACCTTCTGTATGCTGCTCCCCCCATAGCCCACTTTTGATCCAGCGATGTGCACGGAAGCCTCAGCTGTCCCAGGTCGAGTCTCTCTCCTCATTGGCTGAGACACAGCAACAAGAGCGATTGACTCCCACTGCTGTCGATCACAGCCCGTGAGCTAATGAGAAGAGAATGGGGAGCAGAGCCTAGCCACAGCTCTATGTGTCTTACGGGCACAGAGTGGGGCTTTGGAGCAAGCACGTTTTAGTGCCCCCATGGCAAGCAACTTACTATTAGGGGCACTGGTTAAAAGGGAGGAGACAGAAGCACTGGCGGGGGACCCGAGGAGAGGAGGATCAGGGCTGCTCTATGCAAAACGACTGCACAGAGCAAGTAACTAGAACGTTTGTTATAAAACAAAAAAAACAAAGCTTTAATATCACTTTAACAGCTTCCCGACCACCTTATAGCACAAGTATTGCTACAGGGTGGCACGGGTGCGCAAAATCACATATACCCGCGCCGCCATGGTTGTCAATCATTGGGTCCCGGCCAGTGATTACTTGACGACGCCCGGTGATTAACAAGGATCTCCGAAGTGCACAGCCATCAAAAGCAGTGTGCTTATAGTGAAGCACACAGACACCGCCCCATAGTAAAACACTCCCTGCACACAATTAACCCTTTGATCGCCCCTCATGTTAACCCCTTCCTGCCCAGTGACATTTGTACAATGTCAGTGTTTTTTTTTTTTTTTTAGCACTGATCACTGTAGATGTCAGTGACACCAAGTCAGTTCCCCCCCGTGTCAGAATGTCTGCCGCAGTCCCGCTATAAGTCGCTGATCGCCGCCATTACTAGTAAAACTAAGTGTAAAAAATCCCAGTATATATACACACACCGCAATTTGTAAATGCTAAACTTTCACGTAAACCAATTAATTTACACGTATTGGGGGTTTTTTTCAATAAAGATATGTGGCCTGAATTTATGACGAAATTTGATTTAATGGACATGTTTAATGGCAAAAAGTCAATTTTCTCTCAAAATTGTCTTTTTTTAGCGCAAAAAAAAAAAAAAACCACGCACAGGTAATCAAGCACCACTGAAAGAAAGCTCAATTCAAGGGAACAAAAGGACGTAAATTTAATTTGGGTGCAGTGTTGCATGACCGTGCAATTGTCAGTAAAAGTAATGCAGAGCCGTAACACAAAAAATGGCCTGGTCAGAAAGGGGGGTAAATCTTCAGGAGGGCAAGTGGTTAAAAATAACACACACAAAACACAGATTTATTTGCACATTAATGATTAATAAAACAGAATTTTGGGGAACAAAAAAACTATTTTTGACTTTTTGCTATTAAACATGCCCAGTAAAAATTTTTTAAAAGTCTAATTTAGTCATAAATTTAGTCCAAAATGTATTCTGCCACGTCTTTGCTGACCAGGCCATTTTTTGCATTATGGCGCTGCATTATTTTAATTGACAATTGCGCTGTCATGTAACGCTGAACCCAAATTAAATTTACGTCCTTCCCCACGAATTGGGCTTTCTTTCTGTGGCATTTGATAATCTGTGTTTTTTATTTTTTGCGCTATAACAAAAAAAAAAAAAAAAAACACTGACAATTTTGAGGAAAAAAAACAACATTTTTGACTATTTGCTATTAAACATGTCCAGTAAAAATTTTTTTAAAAAAATCAAATTTCATCATGAATTTGACAAAATGTATTCTGCAACATGTCTTGGCTGAAAAAAAAAAAAAATCCCAATACGTGTAAATTAATTGGTTTGTTTGAAAGTTACAGCGTTTACAAATGGCATATATACTAGGCTTTTTTTTTTTCATTAGTAATGCTAATAAAATGCACTGACACTGTACTAATGGCACTGGGCAGGAAGAGGTTAATATATGGGGTGATCAAAGGCTTAGCTGTGTGCTGTTTTACTATGTGGGTGGTGTGTGCTTTACTGTGTAAGCATGCGGTTTTGCATGGCTCTGCTATGCAGAGCCATACAAAGTAGCGTGCAGGAGCTGACAGGGGAGAGATCTGTATTGTTTACATACAGGTCTCTCCCACCTTGGCAATACTCAGAGATCACTGATTGAGACCCAGTGATTGGCAGCCAAGGCCACGAATGGCGGCGCAGGTAGGGCGCACACACACCCTACCCGTAACTGCAAAATTACACACACACACAAAAAACACACACACACGATTTTGAGCACCCGTGCCACCCTGTAGGAGTATTTCTGCTAGGGTGATGCAGAAGCAGTTAACGGAGACTGGCAGAGCTCCAAACTATACATTGGCACAGTGGGAGCTTGGTCTACAGTCTCTCTCAACCAGGATGGCCTGAAGACCACAGACGTCACTCGGGTTGAGAAAGGCGGATGTAGACAGTGCCTAAAATGTCTACACTGTTGCCATAGGTGAAAGAACTGTCCAAAACTGTCGTTCTGATTTTCTAGCTCATTGCATTACGTAATGAGTAATTCCTGGTGTAATAAATTATTTCATACCATGACATTTTCTCTCCTCGTCTTTGATCTTATTAGGTTGTATCTGCATCAGGTAGACACAAGCTCTATCTTGGGCAGTGTACAGCTGTATATGTACTGTATATTTAAAGAAAAAGTCCAATCTGCAGCACCTTTTAATTTATTCTAAAATGTGCAGGGTGCTGCAGACTGGAATATTCCTTTACTTATATATGTAGTGTAAATTATCTGCGTTGCCAATAACAACCATCCTGTCTTAGGGTGCATTAACCGCACTGAATCCAAGAAGGTGCAGCAAAGTCAAATGGCTTGATTGCCTTTATCTCAGTCCCTGGGCTAACAGTGTAGAAGGAGGAATCAGCATAGTTAGCTATTCAATTCAGTCTATTCTATTCAGGCAGTCGTGGACCAATAAATTGACACCCATTGATTTTTGTATGCCGTGGGTGACCTGGTACTCGCCAGGACACCCAGAGTTTGAATTTCTTCTAATTCAGCATCAACTACTTTCCTACCAGGCACTTTCACCCCCTTCCTGCTCAGGCCAATTTTCAGCGCTGTTACACTTTGAATGACAATTGCGCGGTCATGCAACACTGCACCCATATGAAATTTTTATCATTTTTTTTTCACACTAATAGAACTTCCTTTTGGTGGTATTTAATCATCACTGGGGTTTTTATTGTTTGCACTAGAAACAAAAAAAGCGCCAAAAATTTTGAAAAAAATAAAATAAAATTTTATTATAGAAACAAAAAAAAAACCAAACAAAAACAAAACTTTTTTTTTTTTAAACAGGTAATTTTTCTCCTTCACTGATGTGCGTTGATGAGGCTGCACGGATGACGTGGCACTGGTGGGCATTGATGAGAAGGAACTGATGATGCAATGATAGGCAACAATGATGGGCACTGACGGGTGACACTGCTGGGCACTGATAATCAGTGCAGATGTCGTCTGTCACATTTGCAGGCTATCGGCAGTACTTTCCTCACTCTGTGACAGCTGATCATGTGGTAAAAGGCCACTTTGATTGGCCTTTTACCTTACACAGCAATCACCGACAGCGCCCGGTGTGCGCGTTCTGGGAGGATGTTTATGGACGCTCTCCCAGAACTGGACAACCACACTAGCTGTTTTTCGGGTATAGCACAGTTGGCAAGCAGTTAAAGTCTTAAAGGGCAGCTACAAGCCCAAATTTATTTTCTCCCTTAAACCCATCAGTGAGTCCATCTTGCCAGTGGAGACACTGCAAAACTAACAGAAACTATTTCTCCTGGTTTCCATTATCACTGGGAAAGACAGCGACAGTAAATTCCATAGGTAAGGGGAATACAAAACACACTTGTGCTAAAAATAAATATTATGATCATGATAGATACATACAACAGAATTATGGTCATGACAGATACATAAATGAAGGCACACAAGTGTCACCTGCCCCACAAAGGTTATGCAAAAAGAGAAAAAAAAAAAAACAAAAAAAACTTACCGGTTGCACTAAAGGAACTGGAGTCGAATCCATCAATATGAGACAAGGAGTTTTCTAGTTTATGTACAGAGCACTGGTGGTAAAAAAAAACAAACCAAAAATTAAAGAAAAGATAAGAGAACAAAGCAAACAATTAGTAATGCAAGGATACCTGGCAAAATAGTAAAGACAATATGATGTGGCGTTTCCAATACTACAACATAACTCCTCCCCTATACAATAACGTAAATAAATTCCCTTCAGTGACACCTCCCTCAGTAGAGTCCCCAACGCGGAGCTCCAGCCAAAATTTAAAAAAATAAAAGTCAGCAGCTACAGTAACTGTAGCTGCTGACTTAAAAAAACAGCCACTCACTTGTCCCTCAATCCTGCAGTGTCCCCACCGCAGCGGAGTTCACCAGCCGGCTGTGTTCCCGACATCTTCAGCATGAGTACTCAGCTGTGACAGCTTGTGGCACCACAGCCGGGTGCCCACTACGCATGCACGAGTAGCACTGCACTTTGTGAATAGTCCTGTAGTCTTCTGGGACCTGTCGCAAGTCCCAGAAGACTACGGGGAGGAAGGGAAGGACAACTTCCGTTTCCGATCACCAGGGTGGTCAGAGCGGAAACTTGTCAAATATGAGTACCCCCTTCCCCCCCACTTCCCAAATGGTGCCAATCCTTAAACAGGGAGCGGGGGATGAGGCCTTAAACTGGAACTTCCCCTTCCGGGTGGAGCTCTGCTTTAAGTAAAGTGCATACATCAATAACATACAATATTTCAACCACAACAATCACTGTGCGGTATAGTACATAAAATATTGTAAACAATATATATTTTGTAAAAACAATATGATGCGGTGTTTGCAATACTACAACAAAAGAATTCCCTGATACAATAGTGAAAATAAAGTC